TGAATTTATAAAAATGCATCAACAAGAAAACAAGATCAGTGATCTAACAAAGGAACAGTTGAGGAATTTAGAACCATCTATATCATTAAAAGAAATTAAAATGTTATCAAAAAATGAAAGTTAATACACCTCCAGACCCTGACAGATTTACAGCTGAATTTTATGTAGCATATGCTAATTACTGATTCCAAAACTACTAGTTCATAATGCAATATTGTCAGTAATAAAACTACCAGATATTGGAAAACAATCAAGGATAATTCCTATATTAAAACTGGGTAAGGCCCCAGAACTTGCTGACTTATCTCATTCCATCTCTTTATTAAATATTATTAAATGAATAATAAAAATGCTTGCTACTCTATGAGCAATAGATTAAAAACAATGATGGGGGAAATAATTCATGTAGACCAATATGGATGTATTCCATGGAGGTATATAACTGATCCTGTCAGAAGAATACATGGCTTGACCATTTGTTTTAAAAATAAATAAATTAAAAAAAACACACACAAGTAATTTTAGCTTTGAATCCTTATAAGGTTTTTCATAGTATAAATCATGGTTTTTATTGAATGCCTCACAAATATACAAATTTGATCTGATTTTTTTGCATAACATGCAAAGTACTTACATTCAAAGATAAATGACAATCAGCTTTAACAGCATGGAAACATCCCCTTTAGTAACCAGTCAGGTACGAAACAGGGATGCTCCTTATTCCCATTATTCCTTAATATGGTAATTGAATGTTTAGCAGACAAATTAAGAAGCAATATTATTTATTTATTTATTTATTTCCATTTCTTTGCCACCCCCATAACCCAAGGTTTCTCTTGGTGACTTATGCATGCTAAAACAGCATAGAATACATAGAATGCAATAAAAACAATTAATAAACAGATAGAATAGATAAAAATAAAATAATAGATAAACCTCCCATGATAAAATATAACCACATGCAACATAATGAATACAGCTAATAGAATAACCAAAAATTACATTAAATAAGTAAGCCATACCTAAATATAAAAGTATAAATTAAATTAAAGTAACCAAAAGCTTGTTTAAATAAAAATGTGCTTTTAAGTCTCCACAGGGCATCAAAGGAAACTCACAAAGCTGTTAGGCAGTCTCTTGTTGCATATGAAATCTGGCCTTGCATTCAGGGGGTAGTTTGTTTGGTTTTTTTTTTTTTTTTTTCTGGTGGTGGAAGGCAAAGGGATCTCTCAGGGTAAATAACGGATTTCTGAACAAAAGCATAGAGAGATTTCTGGTCAGGTAGCAGTGAGTTCAGTGCTAAGTTAGAGAAGCATGCTGTGAAAGAGTGGCAAGGAGCCATTATCAAGCCTTTCCCCATTCCAGGCACTACAGTCTTGGAGGAAGACTCAGAGTCAGCCCTGGGGTCTACTCAAGCTGTGGAATGCTGGGAGAGCAGTTCTGCATGGCTCCTCTGAGGAATCCTGGGCTGGAGAAGGCCAGAACACCTTGTCAGGTGTTTGGACCACCCTTGGGAAAGCCACCTGAAATGCAGGAGCCTGAGAAACTTTCTATGGAAAATTGGCAGGTCAGAGAATAGATTGGGGAAGGGGAAAGCTCACATGGGCAATGAAGGCAGCTAAAGAGGAGAGAGGGGAGACAGCCTCAGGGAAGGCCTGTGTTTCCAGAACCATGCAAAACCAGGATATCTGATTGCAAAGAAGCTGATATGCCTAGTGTTGCACACATGTGAGCTGATATGCTCAGAAGTCCAAGTTCAACCAGTTGTGCCCGCCTGGGTATTCGATGCAGCACCTACCTTGCCTTGGGGGTCAAAGAGGAGTAGCCATTGTCTGTAGGAATATGCTACCTCTCTCAAGGCCACTAAGAGATGGGACTTAAGTGTCTGTTGTGCAATCAAGACAGGCTGGGGATTCTGCTGTACATCAGACTTCCTGCCTGAACTGATGGAGGTGATCTTGGACCTGGCATAGAAGACCCCCAGACTGATAGTTCTGGGGGACCTCAACATCCATTCCAAAGCCACTTTGTCTGAGGAGGTTCAAGACTTCATGGTTGCCATGACAACCATGGGACTGTCTCAGCATGTCATTGTGACCATGCTAAAGCAGTCCTTGATTCAGTAAAGAGGAGATTCAGGTTTTCAAGGAAATCCCCTATCAAAGAGACTGAATGCCAGATCTGGTTTTAAACACTATGCATGTAGCATTTATTCTATGATATAAAGAATGCAGAAGTATAAGAATACACATTCATCAATCATCAGCAACAATATCAAGAGGCCTCATTCACACTTGCATTCATGCAGAATGTGCAGGTCTTTATCTTGAACACATGCACTCTTGTCACATTCCATTCTCTCTCTGGATGGTACAGTGTGGGCTTATCTTATCTGTTATGTTCCATTCTCCAATCACTCCTGGCCTCTCAGTTTTCTCAGTCTGGTCAGTCCCATCATACGTTTTCATTCTTCATTTTCTTCTGGGACTTAGGCCTTCAGGAACCCATGTGCACTGTAACATCATTGGCCCTACACACAAAAGAGGCCACACTCATGACATGGTCTTTATGACTGGGAAAAAGAATGATGATATGGAAGTGAGAGGTTTGACATCAACCCCTTTGTCATGGTCAGAACACTTCCTCTTGAGATGTAGACTTGTGACTGCTCTTTTCCTCTGCAAGGGTGAGGGACCTATTAGAATGGACTGTCCCTGGGATTTGATGGATCCAATGGGTTCCAAAAGGCTCTGTGGGCTTTCCAGGCTAGTATGGTTGGCATTCCTGTTGAGACCTAGGTCGCTGTATGGAATACAGAAGTGACGTGGGTGGTTGACATGGTTGTAACTAAGCGGCAGATATGAACACATAAGCCCTGTGCTTTATTGGCCAAACTGGTTACCAGTTGAAGTCCAGGCCTACTTCAAGGTGCTTACACTAAAGTATAACGTTCTAAACAGCTTAGGGCCTGGATAACTAAAGGAGCATCTCTTCCCCTGTACACCTGCTCAAATCCTAAGGTCTATGGAGATCCTTCTCTGGGAGCCACCTTTAAAAGAAGTAAGGAAGGTGGCCATGGATGGGCCTTCTTGGTTGTGGTGCACCAGGTTAAAACCTTTGTATTTTCCTGGCATGTTAATTGTTAAATAATGTTTTTGGATTTTATATTGGTTTTTATCTCTATGGTCACTGGCATTCTGTGATTTGGTTTTATTCTTATATTATATATTCTTATTACTATTTATTGTTATTGTCGGTGAATGTTGCGCTCCAATGAATGTTAATTGCCCTGTTCATATTGCTTTAATTTGTTGTACAACATTCTGAGAATTGTCTGCTAACTGAATGGTTTATAAAAGCCTTAACTAAACAAAGAAATAAATACATGATGAGGATGGGTGATGCCTGACCAAAATGTGGCAATATAAGTGATTTGCTGTACTTTATGTAAGTGTGAAAAGTTGTGTCAAAGCAAACCCAAGTTCAAAGATATACATGCTGTTACATATAAAAGTATAAGTCAATTTTGAATTTTTTCCTGATGCCAGTGCTTAATAAACAAATATTTGCTTCATTTTTATCCTACTCTTCTTTCAAACAACTGAAGATAGTATTGATGTTCCCCTCTGCTCTTATTCTCACAATAACCAGTGAGATGAAATAGTAACTGCCTAAATGGCATCTAGTGAGCTTCATAGTCATGCAGTAAATTGTACCAAGGTCCTCTGCTTTCCATTCAGCACAATCTTCAATACAATACATTGGTGGTATTTGTAGCTAGTTTCTAGTCATCTTGCATATCTACAATCATGTTAGCCATCCTGGAAGATGGCAGGTACAAAGTTAATATCATAGTCTTGCTGGTTTCAAAATGAAGCTTATGGGTAAGTGATCCAATCCATAGTTTTGTGAATGTATTTGAGGTTCTCAGATGTAGGTATTTGTCAGAAACTGCACATGTCATTGAATCACTGGACTCTTTCTCAGCAAAGAACCCCTTTGATTCAGACTGCAACTGCCCTATTCTTCTGGACTCTTGGTTGCAACTGAGCATTGCCTGAGCAACAACCTCGACCTGAGCACTGGCAAGTCTTGTATCCAAGGCTCGCTTTTCAGTCCTGATTGTTCCCTGGCTCTGCCTTGTGGTTAATTCTGATCCTGACTGCTAGTTGGTCTCAGCTGCTGGCTTGTTCTTCAGACCTGCTTTTTGGATTGCCCTCCTGTTCAGTCATGATTGTCCTTTGATCCTGCATGCCAGCTCCTGATTCACTCCAAAATAGTGCCTATGGCCAAACCTTAACACACATTTATGGTCCACTACAGTTTACCAAGTGGTGAGTTTTTCCAGCATAGATTTGCTTAGTATCTATGCTTAAATGTGATGTGAATTTTTTTTTTCTGCCATGAATCCGTTTAAAAGCCAGGTCTATCCCTCGTGTTCTTCAGACGGTAATCTGAAATCTTGAAAATGGAAAGCTATGGAAAATATAGTGTCGTGCCTGACGACGCGACAGAGACGTCTACTCGTGAGGAGGAGGCAGGAGCTAGCAGTGAGAGTCGGGCATTGGAACAAGGGGACTTATATTTAAGGCCCAGTGCCCAGACGGCCCCTCTGCAGCCTGGCTCTGAGACAGCTGAGCAAGGAACCTCTCTACAGCCTGACCCCATAGCCTCTGAGAGAATAGCCTCCCTGCAGACTGACAGGGAGGCATCTGCAAGAGCAGCTTCCCTTGATTCCAGCTCTTAGCTGCCTGAAGAAGGCGCCCCCCCCCCCCCCGGCTCCTGACTCTAAAACAGCTGAGCAGAGTTCAGGAGAACAAGAGGATTCAACAGAAAGTCTGACGAACGCTAAAGTCAGGAGATCTTTAAGACGACAATTACAATTACGATGACAGGACAGAGGTCTGTCCCACCCACGAGCAGAAAGATGAGACAGAAAGGTCTGATACCACGTGGTCTCCTGAGGTAGCTCAGAAAAGGAGCAGCAACTGGACTGCAAAGGGGCTAGTTATTAGAGCTTATCAGTCACATTGTAAATCTTGTAGTAAATAGCAATAAAAGTCTTTAGTTTCACTGCCGGCTGCTGTGTGAGTTAATTGGAGACGTGCGTTACGACCTCACGACATATAGTGAGGTAGTATATATCAGCTTTACTTTTGGTACATTTTTCACCCAAAAGCTTTGAGTCTTTTGCACACATTCTTGTTCTGGAAACTAGGGTGGATACTATTTTGGGTCCCACATATACAGAGGAGCCTAATATTCATTAATTTGCACCTTCCATCATCAAGATACTTCAACAAGAAACATGCATCTTATTTCAAGTTTGGAGCCTGTTGGCATCTTTGCAGTTTGTCAATGCTGTAAATAGCCCAGATTAGAGTCCCTAGTTCTTTTGTTCAGCATTTTCAACAGACAGTAATATGACTTTTTAAAAAAAGCCAGGAAAAAGCTTTGTACCTAAAAATGTTGTGTGTGTTCCTTTCCTTTTCAAAATGCTGTGTGGAATGGATGTAGCAATGAGTCATCCTAGGTTTACCTTCCGGGCAGTATGACTCAGAATGGGCCTATCATAACAAAACGGCTGGAAGAGCAAAATGATGTCTTATTTTGAGAGCCTCTACCAAGGCAATAAAACACTTTCTTTCCAAGCATTGGAAGAATGAACCCTAGCCTCAGAAACAGAGTAGATGAACTCCAGCATCAAAGATATAGATAGATAAGTACATATTTATGTCTATCGCCACCACGATCATTGTCATTAGTGGCAGCAGCATCTCTTCTGTATTCAGTCCTCAGCTGAAAGTGTTTGCACTTCTGCAGCCAAAACAATGCTATGCACCAAAGGAAACTATCAGCCCACTCAGGAATCCTGAGTTTGCAGAAGTACAAGAGAACTTCTAAATCACTAAAATGCCAACCCAACAAGGATAGAGTGTACTCAGTGGCTATGGAACCCTGACCATTTGTGGAGAGAAAAACAAAACACACAAAATAGCAGGGAGGGGATGGAGCAGCTGGAGCCCCTTTGCCCATTTTGTGGCAGAACTCTTCTACCATAGGAGTGTTGCTGTGGTAGGTAAAGTGGGCCCACCTCCAAACAAGAGGAAGGCCTCCACAAATTCAGGATAATCCTGGATCATGCAGAAGTGGAAAAGCATAGGAAGACAAACATACCAGACAGATTCAAGCAGAACCAATGGATTAAAGCAGGCTTCTATACATGAGGCATTTATTCTGCGCTGGTGATCCCTCACTCAAGGAAGTTTGTGGAGCATTTTCACAACACTGTGGTCCTTCAGAGTTTCTCCTGAGTTTTCCAGGCTTTTTGAGGGATTCATTAAAGCTGGTATTAAATTTTAAATTGCAACAAACTGGAGCAAAAGCCAGGTGAAAGCCAGGTGAAAGTTTGCTGCACCGCAGTTACACCACAGCTACATGAGGAATCCATTTAGAGGTGGGAATCTCATGGAATCTGGGCTCAGGTCCATGACTCTGGCATGGCTGTACCTCCAAGATCCCAGAGACAATGGCCAGCATTCACATTTTGCTCATGAGGAATGGAGCCCTGTGTGAATAGTGCCCAAGTGGGGTCTCTCTTCCATGTCATGTGCAGCAGCCTCTATTTGGAATGCAAGTGACACAGAAAAAGGTTGCTGGTTTCCATGAGTGTTTAAGACTTCCTCTTGGCTGGGCTCACTTTCTAAGGCAGGGCAGAGCAGGAGAGGAGTCCACAAATACTGAAGGAAAGGGCTCTGAGGAGTTTCAGAGCAACACTAGCCACAGCAGCTCCTTATGCTTGGTCAATAAAATATGTGGAAAGGCTGAGAAATACAAGTCAGACCTCTCATATGCAGAAGCTCAGATTGCCCGCCAGTCAGATGGTCTGACACAGTGGTTGTGCCTTATGGAAGTGCGGGGGTGTTCTGCTTTGTTTCCTCCAGGTGTGATTGCCCATGTTTCTCATCAAAGCAGTGCCCTGCTGCCCCTTTCCCAAAAGAGGCAGCTCATTCCTGCTCTTCACCTTGTGGTCTTGCTGAACTTCTTTTTTTTTTAATAAGTTTTATTCTAAATAAACCTAATACAAAGAAAAACTAAAAACAACATCAATCATCAGAAACACTAATGGTAATTTATTATGTTCTATTGTATTTCAATGTATCTTACTGTGTTGTAAGCCGCCCCGAGGCTTCGGCAAGGGGCGGCATAGAAATGTAATAATATTATTATTATTATTATTAATAATAATAATAATAATAATAATAATAATAATAAACATCCCCTACATTTTTTCCTTTTATGTTAACTTATAAACATATTTGAATCTATGCGAAGGACTGTTTCTCTAGCCAATAATAAAAAGAGTCCCAGGTTTGATAGAAGTCAGTATCTTCTTTCTCCTTCAGTGACAAAGTCAATCTGTCCATTTCTGCAAAGTCCAAGATCTTTTTTAGTATCAGTTCATTGGTGGGTGGTTCTTCACTTTTCCAGTGTTGGGCAAATGCAATCCTCGCTGCAGTAATTACATGTAAAATCAAGTACATTTCTTGTTTATTAATATTATCAGGTATAATGCCTAATAAGAGAATTTCAGGTTTAAAAGCTAAAGACTTTTGTAACATTTCCTCAAGCCATTTATGTATTTTAATCCAATACTTTTTTGCTTTATCGCAAGTCCACCACATATGATAGAAGGTACCCAATTTATGTTTACATTTTCAACATCCATTTGACATATTTGGAAACATCTTGGGTAGTCCATTTCACGACAAATACCATCTATAGAACATTTCATACAAGTTTTCTTTATATGAAGTTGCTAATGTTACCTTAATATTTCTCTCCCACAGCTTTTGCCATTTTTTAATTTAATATGTCCAAAGTTTTGTGCCCACGTTATCATAGTTTCCTTAACCTGTTCATTTTCCATTCTCCTATCTAGTAAGAAATTATATAGTCTTTTAATCATTTTCTCATCTGATTGAAGCATCACCAGATCAAATGCTGATAAATCCTTATAAAAACCTCACATTCTATAGTCTTTAGCATATCTTGATTGTATCTGCACCTTATGCCACCAAGAAATATTAGATCCTTGTTCTTGTATTTCTTGATTCAATTTCAATCCTCCATCATTATCCAAAATGTCATCATACCTTAGGATCGCTTCAAAGTTCAATGCATTTGGATATACAAGAGCTTCCATAGGTGAAAGCCATCTTGGTAATTTATTATACAGTTTTGTCTTTAACTTTTCCCACACTGACATTAATGATTTCCTAATATAATGACTTAAAAAAGAACCATGTACCTTACACTTTTCATGCCACATATAAGCATGCCAACCCATTTGCAAATCATGCCGTTCGAGATACAAGATTCTCTTATTTCTTAAGGTTATCCATTCTTTTAGTCATGTTAAAACAGAAAAACAGAAGCTCGATAATACAGCATCCAATCAGGGACACCAAAACCCCCATTCTCTTTAGCCTCCTGAAGTATTTTTAGTTTAATCCCTGGTTTCTTCTTTCTCCATATAAATCTCGAGATTTGAGAATTTAAATCATAAAAAAAATTCTATCAATTTTTATGGAAATCATTCGGAATAGAAACAAAAGCTTTGGTAATATCCTCATTTTAGCTAGTGCTATTCTTCCCAGCAAGGAAAATTGCAAATTAGCCCATTTTTCCAAGTCACTCCTAACTTCCTTAAATAGTTCATCATAATTGTCTTCTTTCAGAATGGTACACTTAGCTGTAAGATAAATTCCCAAGTATTTAACCTTTTTAACAATCTGAAAGTCTACTTGTTCCACCAGAGTTTTTCTCTGCTCTTGTGTGAGAATTTTTACTAGCAATTTCATCTTTTCTCTGTTTATTTTCATCCCAGTAACCTCGCCATACTCTTCAATCCTTTGTAGGAGTTTAGGCATTGTTACGAAGGGTTCCTCAGTTATGAAAACTAGGTCATCTGCAAATGCTTGCAATTTATAGCTTTCATCTCTAATTCTAGTACCTTTAATGTCCATATCGTCCCTGATATTTCTGTTTAACACTTCTAAGATCAATATAAACAACAGTGGTGATAGCGGGCATCCTTGTCTGGTACCCTTTTGTATATCTAGAATATTTGTAAATTCTCCATTGATTATAATCCTTGTAGACTGTTTTTGATAGATGCTTAATATTGCATTAATGAACTTTTCACCAAACTCCATTTGAACTAGTTGTTGCTTCATAAATTGCCAATTAACATTGTCAAAATCCTTCTGTATGTCCATGAATAACAGTGCCATTGGTTTTTCCGTATGCATCTCATAATACTCTAAGATGTCCAAGATAGTTCTCATATTATTCCTCATTTGTCTTTTAGGTAAAAAACCATTTTGATCTGAGTGAATAAAGTCTGTTAGATACTACTTCAATCTTTCTGCCTTTATGCAGGCAAAAATTTTGTAATCCACATTTAATAGTGATATAGGTCTATAGTTTTGAATCTGCATCAAGTCCGTGTCTTCGTTTGGTATTAATGTAATATTTGCCTCTGTCCAAGTATTTGGTATTTTAGCATCTAACAATGCTGCATTACATATATCCTTAAGAAGCGAGGCAAAAATTCCTTCAAAGGATTTATAAAACTCTGCTGGTAGCCCATCCGGGTCTGGAGTTTTGTCATTCTTTTGTCTCTTAATTGCCTCTGTTACTTCTGTGATTGTTACTTCAATACTTTTTGGTATTTCTCCGGTAAATTTGGCAGGTCTCCCTTTCGGATATATTCGTTTACTTTCTCAGTTGAAATCTCATCATTCTGGTATAGCTTTACAAAGAAATCTTCTGCTATTTTCGTAATATGTATACTTTGTACTTGCAATCGTCCTTCTCCATCCTTCAGTTTACTTATTAGTCTCTTCTCTCTTTCCTTCTTTACTTTATAAGCTAACCATCTCCCTGGTTTGTTAGCATTTTCAAAGAAGTTCTGTTTGGTCAATTTCATTTGCTTAGTGAGTTCGTTTGTATCCAAGAGGTTCAGTTTATGTTTTAGAATATTCATTTGTACCTTAAAGTCTTTTTTGGATGGATCTTCCTGTAGCTCCTGTTCAAGCTTCGTCAATTCCTCTACTATTTTAGCTCATTCCTGCTTGCTCCTTTTATTTATTTTTGCTGAGTATGTTATTATCTGTCCCCTGACATAGGCTTTGGCTGTATCCCAGACATTTTGCAAAGAGGTTTCTTCTGTTTTTATTTGAAAGAATATTTGCATTTCCTTATTATCTCTTCTATGAATTTTTTATCCTTTGATAAGGCTTTGTTTAACCTCCATCTGAGCATTTTTACTGTCCCTTTCAATGACATAGTTACAGGGTTATGATCTGCCCAGACATTTGCCACAATTTCAGCTTCTAGCAGGTCTGGTACTAAGTCTGGAGTTAACCAAGTCATATCAATTCTAGACCACAACCTATGTCTATATGAATAGAAAGTATATTTAGCAGAGGTTGGTTTTTATTTCTCCAGACATCTACCAAATTAAATGATTCAATCATATTAAAACAAGACTTTGGAAGTATCCTCCTGCCTTTTCTATCCTTAATCTCACTCTTATGATCCATTTTCTTCTCCACAACTGCATTAAAGTCTCCCATTAAACACATGGTCTGGCAGTCCAATTGTGAGAGTAAAGAATGTAGTTTTTGGTAAAATGTTTCCTGATGGTCATTTGGGGCATAAATCACCACTAAAAGCACCTTTTTAAGTTTCATTGTGATTTCAACCATCAGAATCCTACCACCATCATCAGCTAATATATATTTAGGGTCTAATTTTTCCTTGATGTATAATGCTAAACCTCTTTTCTTTTGAGAAGCAGAAGACATAAATAGCTTTCCAAGCTTTAAACATTCCAAAAGCTTACTATGTTGTTTCTTAATATGTGTTTCTTGTAGGCAAATTATATCTAATTTCCATTTTTGAAGTTGAAAGAAAATCCTTCTCCACTTAGAGGGTCCGTTTAGTCTGTTTATGTTTAAAGAGAGCAGTTCAATTCTTCCTTCCCTTTTGAAAGCCATATTTAAAGAATATATTTATCTACTTATGCTTTGCCTTTACACTTCTACCTTTTTTCTTTTCCTTTGGTTCCAGTGTCTGTTCCTCTTGTTGTAAGTCTGTATTCACTATGTCTCCTTCTTCAGAGTGGTATGCTAATAATTCCATTGGTTCAGCACCTTTCCCTCCTTCTTTTGGAGCACCCGATTCTTCCTCTTCAAATGTGCTTCTAAATTTTTCATAAAACTCTTGTGCCTTGAAGATTGAGTCCAGCTTGTATCTTGTAGAGTTCCAGGTGAAAAATATTCCTTCTGGCGTTAGCCACCTAAACATGATCTCTTTCTTAGTCAGCTTCGTAGTAAGGAATAAGTATTTCTTTTGTCCTTCTCTAATCCTCCATGGTATTTGTTTCAAAACAGTCACCTCATGATGATCATCAGCCTTTAAAGGTTTATCATGTACAGCCCTCAAAACATTGTCTCTTATAGACCTTTTTGCAAATTTAACATGAACTTCCCTCAGAAGCTTGTGTTTCCTAGCATAACTTGAATTCACTCTATAAACAAGGTCAATATTTATGTCCACCTCTTTGTTTTCTAGATCCAATGCCTCTGCCAGCATAGTAATTATTAATTCCCTTAAGTCCTCATTCTTTTCTTCGGGTATGTTCTGGAATCTCAGATAATTAGATGCCTTCTCCATCTCTAATATACCAAGTGAATCCCATAATGACTTGCTTGTTTGTTTTATTAATTGTGTTTCTTTGTCTACTGTTTCAATTTTTTCATGGGCTTGTTGTATTTTTTGTGTATTCTGTTCAGGTTTGAGTCGATCATCTGCCAGTTGGTTTGATACATCCTTAACAGAGCTGTCCAATTTGTCAAGACGCTCTCTTTGTTCATTTGCAAAGTTCTTCTGTGCAGCTGACATGTTCCTCTGTTCTGCTAATATATTCCTCTGTTCTAAGCTTAATTTTGATATAGAATTTTGCATAGCCTCTTGGGATGCTTGCATAGCTGTTAAAGATGTTTGTATCGCCAAGAGTCATTTGTAGATCTTTTTGGTATTTTTCGGCATCTGCAGCATTAGACTGGTGAGTTGGACTCTGAGCAGCTGATGTAGGTGCCGCAGAGGAGGAAGAGTATGTTTTTTTCATAGTGATGGTAGTTTTTTGCTAGTAATTGCAAAGTAACAACAGAAAAAGAGAGAGAGAGAAATCTCCAAGAGAAAAGAGGAAGGAGACTTTTCTGTAAATTCAATAGCCACAGGGTGGCAGCAAAGAGTTATTTTGTCTTTATGTGACCTAACAAAGAGGACTGAAAAAGAAAATGTCTGCCCATCAAGATAAGCAAGGTTAGTTTTTCTATCACTTAATCTACAATATTTTTTTATTTTGATTCTTCGCCCTTGGGGAGATTTAAAAAAAAAAAGAAACCTTTCTTTCCAGCCTCATATTTTCCAAATCTCAGTTCCTCTCCCCTAGATTAGTCGCCGCTTAAACTCCGTGGGGGGGGGGGGATTCCTCCCTCTGTCAAGGGGGCTTTTCTTTCTTCTTTATCCCGATTAGTATCTGCTTCCAGTTCTTCCACTGGTAATATTGAAAAAGGTAGAAATGCTCACGCAGCAGGTCCGATGTACTTCAAGCAGTTATTCTATGCTATCCCCATCACCTATTCTCCATTGCCCACTGCATTGCAAGAGACCAAATTTCTATCCTTGTATGGGAGAAGCAGCTGTGGTTGCAACTTGTGCAGGGAGCATTTGGCAATGCTACCATCTGCCTCAAGAGTGAGTATCCAAGGACCAGAAGAAGCAAAAGACTTGCACATCCATATGCTGTAAACCACAGAAACAGGTACGGACACAGAGACATTTTTCTCATGCTTAACAGGAAACAAGTTTATTAAATATGCTGAGCATACTATTCACATTCACTCAATTTTCTGAATCATAGGCCTGTGGCAACTCCTTTACCTGGGGAATTATTCAATATGTCCTGTCCTCAACTGCCACCATCTCCCCTGCTTTGAGGGGCTTTTTCAGGTAAAAGATCCACACCCCACCCCACACACACTATGCTGCTCCTTTTTCTCATTTAGGGGCCTCAGAGTACAGATTTTGATTAGGACAGTGTGCATGCCTCATCGGTGGGGGTCCCTCACAAGGACAACTCTTAAGTTCAAACTCTACTTTGTGAAGTGTTTTGAACCATCCTTTGAGGTCATGGGAAGAGATTAACTATGTTTAGCAGTAGCCCACTTTTGTTTTGTTTAGTCTCAAAGTCATGCCCAACCCATCACGACACCATGGACAACATTCCTCCAGGCTCTCCTGTCCTCCCCCATCCTTGGAGTCCACCCAAACCCACACCCACTGCTCCAGTGACTCCCATCTAGCCACCTCATCCTCTGCCATCCCCTTCTCCTTTTGGCGTCAATCATTCCCAGCATCATGTAGCCTTTTGGTGCTGTCCATGGGGTTTTCGTGGCAAGGATACTGGAGTGGGTTGCCATTTCCTTCTCCAGTGGATCACCTTTTGTCAGAGCTCTCTGCCATGACCAGACAGGCATAGCTCATAGCTTCATTGCACTATGCAAACCCCTTTGCCATGGCAAGGAAGTTTTCCATGAAGGGGAGTAGCCCATTGCATAGCAGGATTTCACTGTCTACCTGAATCCACTAATATAAAAGCAGTAGTTTCTCAAAAGGGATGTAGTTTGGGCAACCAAGCAGTGGGACCAAAATCCACATGGACAAAACTTGCCATCATGCCACTCCCATAAGTTATGCAGGGCCACATTGTCAGACTCAGATGCATACAGTATGAAAGCGAGCCTTTTTTGTGTAGGTCCCAGGGCATCTCAAGCTGTATAGCTGCTCAGGCTTGCTCAGAAGCATCCTGTTGCTCAGACCCCCATTCAAAAGCAGCTTTGTTTCTGGTATCTCTGTAGATGCGTTGCAAAATGAGAGACAGGTGAAAATTGAACTTACTGATCAATTTTCATGTCTTCTTCTTTATCTTTAGAGGTGCCAAGTTGCCAAAGCATTGTAAACTACACATTGGGCAGGTTCTTCCCACAGAACACTCAGACATTTCAGAATAGGTTGGCACTTGCACCTTTTTTTCAGATTCATTTTCCAGCCTCTGTCTTCCAAAGTGTGCACTTTGCTACTGACTTTGAAACAGTCTATCCCTCCTCTTCAGTAAAACACAAACAGTATAATGCACCAGCATAATGCTTTCATGCATGCTATACATCCCATGACACCTAAGCATGACACAAGGTGGCACTGTGCTCCCATCCTTGATGAAAGGCATACTGATATAGCACCCTTCTCAACTATAGGTGATCCAATCTTTGAAGGGTGGTGCCTGAGGAATAGGGAAAAAGGATTAACCAAGGAACTCACAGCATAGAATACTGGCCCCTTTGCACTTAACATAGAAACATAGAAGCAGAGTGAGTCAGAAGGGACCTCAGGTCCCCCAGCTCCAGCCAGCTCCACTCATGACATGCCGACCGCTTCTCATTGTGTGAGTGATGCTCAGAATATCTGGAACAGCTGATGTCAGGGACTTTGTCTGTTGGTTTAAGAGGTGAAAGTCCACTGAGATGTATATACCCCATCCAGTTGAACTTCAACAAAATAGAAGAACAAAAGCCATAAAAAAGGAAAGGAGATGGGGGGGAGGGGGAGAGGGGAAATTACAATTTTCTTGGATAAAATTTGAATGTATCAGTTGCAACAGATACATATGAAATGTATCCCCATGTATATATGTATATATTGGTAGGAAAATAATGCTGTCAGGGAAAGTTGACAGCAGAAGAAGGTGAAGAACAAGTATGAAATAGAAAATTCCATAAAGGAAGTCAGATCCTTGAGTTTACAAGAGCTAAGCAGAGCTGTCAAAGCCCAGTCATTTTGCAGGACATTCCTTCATAGGGTCTCCATAAGTTGGAGCTCACTTGATGCCATGTAACAAAAGAGAAATATATTGTTATCAATCAAAAGCTTCAAACAAATGTACACTTCAACAAATATCCATGTAATAGATACAAATATACATATATCCATTTGTGGATTGCATCTAAATACCACCCATTCAAATGTTCAAAGAGCTGTTAATTTCACAATCCATTGCATCATTGGAGGTGGCTGTTTATCCCTCTAAAGTTGTAATATCAGTTGTCAAAAGGGTATGAAAAATCCATTTACCCTGAGCTTGCAGATAGTTGAGGGCAACATAAGCCTCCATAAATATTAAAGAGTCTTCCAGTTTTGTCTGTATTATAACCTCCTCCCAAAAAGGCAGCTACTGAGCCTTGACAAAACATATGGCTGAGTGAAGCAAAAGCTAT